CAGAATAGCAACAAAATAATTTTTTAATGATAAAATTTTCACTTAAAATTTAAATTGAAGATAGCATATTTGCCTTCAATTTCACGAATTTTGAATTTACCAGCAGAAAGAATTGTTTGGAATTTTTTAATACTTCTTCACATACCTTTACGTTTATTAATTATTTTACATATTTTTTGTAAAAATTTTTTTAAATAATTTAAATTTAAATTTATTTTTTTTTAGTTTCCTTTTCAAAACAAAAATTTAAAGAAAATATTCAAATAATTCAAAAAAGTAATGTTAAATTTATTACAAGAAAATGTTTGCCTAAAATTACTCCAAGTGAGTATTTCTTTTAATTTATTTTTAAAATTTAAAAGGGATTTCTCAAATCCTTTTAAACATTCCAAACTAGCAGGAAGGGTTCTAAAAATTAGGTTGTAAAGGTGTAGTTATAGGAAGAATTAGCGGTTCATAAAAAATCTTCGGATATGCCGACTTTCTTCAGTCTTGGATATCTTGGACCGCCAATTCTAGTTATAGGGCAAAAACTTTCAGCCATCCATAATAAAAAAATTTTTTAATATTTTAAAATAATTAATTTAATTAAAAACAGATAAATATCTACAAATTGTCTATTTAATAAGTGGATTATTTGATAATTTATTTCTTTCAAGTTTAAGTGTTGTAGGCGAAAGGGAACATTCAGAATTACACGTTATATTCTTTTCTTTTTATTTATTTTCAATTTTTATTAATTTTTCTGTTCATTTTTATTTAGAATTAAATTTATTAAAAAATACAAAAAAATCACAAAAATTTCATTTTATTTTTTTATTTTTATTATTTTTATTAATTCCTTTCATTATTTTTTTCTTTTCAATTAATCAACTATATTGTATTAAATTTTCTTATGAAATTTTTGTTTTTATTGAATATTTAATTGTTTTTTGTATTTTTTGTTTTAATTTTTGTATTTTGTTTGAAAATCACAAAAATTGTTTCTTTATTTTTTTATTAAATAAATAAATAAATCATTCTAATATTAATTTGTTTAAGAGTGGTGATTAGTGTGTGTTAGATAGACCCTTAAATTAATTTGTACTTTATAAAGCTTTAGCTGAGAAAATAATCAGAGCTTTTACAAAATTTCAATTTTCCAGTTTTCGTTCTTTATGCGAACCTACAAAAGAATTCTAATAATATTTGTAGGGAGGGGTGGGTCTGTCGGGATTTTGGTGCCAAAAACAACTTCCTTGAGTATTTCCTTTAGCCTAACTGGTTAGCTCCCATAATATGCAATTATGGGGACGAAAACGACACATAATTAGCTTTAAGTGGCAAAATGATGGATAAAAATTGGTTGGGGAAAGTTACCCTTTGTTTTTTTAAATGAATTTTCAGCTTCTTTATAAGAATAAAATTACTTTAAAATTTATTTTTTCTTTAAATATTAAATTAATGAATACTTAGAATTAACTTTTAAAAAAGTATTTTTAGAGAGTTGAATTAATAATAAAATAAATTTGTTTAGAGTTTCCATGGTATTGTATGTATAAGCACGAAATGGAAGAATTAATAACATCTTAAGATTTATTTAAAACAAAAACTTTTTATGAAGAAAACTTTAATGGTTATTTAAAGTATTTTTATTTAAAAATAATTTATGTAAATAAATGGCTTCCTCTGACGAAGAGGAAGGTGATGAAGGAAGAAATCAACGAAATGGGGGTGAACAAGCCCTCAAATTAGTTTTGCTTGGTGATAGTGGTGTTGGAAAAACATCGATATGTTCTAGACTTGCTCAACATACATTTCCACAAAAATATATTCAAGTAAGTAAAAATTAAATGGATTCATGTAGTTTATTTTTAGACTTCCGGCGTGGATTTTTATTCAAGAAGGGTTCAACTACGTCAACAAAATTCTGTACTTCTTCAGGTATTTTAGAAAAGAAAAAATCTTAATAATTGAAATAAGCAACTCTGAAAAAAATATAATATACATAGAAATGTGGGAACTCCTCCACATACAGAGATCGACCGAGAGATTAACAAAAATCTCAGTTATCGAGAAAGATATTTTTCGAGAGATCTCGATTTTAGTACGACACTCCAAGTCCGATTTCTAGTAAATATCAAATAACTCGCTTTTCTTATTTTTAAACTAAAACCATTTAGAAAAAAAATAAAATAAATTTATTTAAAAGCTTTGGGATGTCGGTGGACATAATCTAGCTTCACCCTCAATGCTCAATACATATATTTTTGGAGCTCATGTAAAAATCCTCAAATTATTTTTTAATTTTACTTACAGTAGTGGACATAAAGATAGGGACAAGAGTAATTTAAATGAAAATTAACTATTTCTCAGTCGAAAAATACGATCTATATATCAATCGAAAGCTCTATTCGTATCTCAGTTGACATGTTTCTGCATTTTTCATGAAAATGAAAATCGGCCGAGATAATCCGGATCTACCGGATATACCAAATCCCATAGCCTCGGAAATAATTTTCGGAAAAAATTTAACAAACCCATTTGATAAAGCATATTTTTGTGAGTATTTTCTACAAAACCGCTTAAAAATATCTCTTTCCGGGACGGAGATATGATTTTTTGAAAATGGCATTTTTAGCCTATTTTTGCAAAAAATTCAATTTTTAAGGGAAAAATGCCATTTTCAAAAAATCATATCTCCGTCCCGGAAAAAGATATTTCTAAGCGGTTTTGTGGAAAATACTCACAAAAATATGCTTTATCAAATGGGTTTGTTAATTTTTTTCCGAAAATTTTTTCCGAGGCTATGGGATTTGGTATATCCGGTAGATCCGGATTATCTCGGCCGATTTTCATTTTCATGAAAAATGCAGAAACATGTCAACTGAGATACGAATAGAGCTTTCGATTGATATATAGATCGTATTTTTCGACTGAGAAATAGTTAATTTTCATTTAAATTACTCTTGTCCCTATCTTTATGTCGATGACTGTATTTTATTTAAAAGGGTGTTCTTTTTGTTTATGATGTAACAAATAGTCAATCATTTGAAAATATTAATGATTGGCTTTCTGCAGCTAAAAAATTGGATAAACAAATGGAAAAGGTTGAAAAATACAAACGATCAAAAAATTTTAAAAATTAATTTTTCTATAGCCATTTTATATGGCATTAATTGGTAATAAAGCAGATAGTGAACATCGACGTTCTGTTAGGCCAGAAAGACATAGCAAATTTGCTGAACAAACTGGTTTTTTATAATTTTAATTAGAGTTACACTCGAGCCTTCGGGGAAGGGGTTTCCGGGGTGAGGGAAATTCAAGTGAAAAAGATTCTTAGAAAATACCTAAGCAACTTTATCTGATAAAATCGTTTTTCCGGGTCCGTACACTGGACTCTAGGTTACGAGCTCATGCTAATTCAGTCAGGTTTTAATTCGGAAAATTATTTTCGGGGAGGGAGTCATTTCGTCAGGCACAACCCTAACAAGTCCCGGAGAGATACACTAGAGGGACTTAGAAATTACAAAAATTATTTCTTAATTAAAAAGGAATGCAATCACATTTCTACTTGTCAGCAAAAAATGATGATTCAATTGAATTGATATTTAGGTAAATTTAAAGAAATATTTTGAAAAAAAATTACAAAAAAATTTTTCTTCTTCGTTTAATAAAATCATAGAATAGAAAAATAGCAACAGAAATTTTGGGAACTAAAATCACGAGGAATGAACCTGAACAAAGTTCTGTTAAACCTCAAGCATCTACAACAACAAATGTTGAAGAAAAAAATATAACCGAAAAACCAGGGAAAGATGTGGAAGATGACAAAACAGCATCCAAAGGTATGTAAAGAGAATAATAAAATTAATGAAGAATTCCCCCTCAATAAAATTTTTTTGGAAATTTTATTTTAATTTTCGGAAAAGAAAATTAATTTTATTTTTTCCCAAATTAAACAAGAGATGATTGATTTCTAAAATTAATTTAGAATCAGAAACAACTAAAGAAACGTCGACTAAAAACACAGCTAATCAACGTTCATCATCTACATGTTTACTCCAATAATTTAAAAAATGTAGATTTTCATCTAGATTTAAATTGTTCTCTTTAATTTTAATATGTAAACAAAAGGAAGATTTTTGTCATTTTATAGTTAAAAACTAAAAAAGCCAATTTAACGTAAAAATTACGTTTATTACTAAAAAATAATGAGATGAATTGGGCAATTAAATAAAAAAGAATTGTCCAATAAAAATTGTATTTTCTAAAAATAAATAAAAGATTTTATCAATTTGTGGAAAAAATATTCCTTTAAAATTTAAAACAAAATTTTGTTATATAAATAAATCAACAAGACAAACTATGGACGATTTTCTAAATAATTCACAAAGTTGAATAGAGAAATTAAAGATTATCTGATTTTAAAATATTTGGGTCTAGAAATTTTTGTTTGAATAAATTATTGAATTTAAAGTAGTCTCTCATTTATGCCTCTTAACTTATTTGTTAGTTATTTCAGGAAATGAATAACCTGTAAAAGCGATTGGCTTGAATGTCTTGATAAAAAATGTTCGGGCTCTAATAAATAAGAGACATTAAAGTGAATTAAAGAAAATGCAAAAATAAGAGATAAATGTAAAATTATAAAAAATGGCGAGAATTTGAAGAAAGTCTTTCGAGGATTAAAAACAGTAAAATGCAAAATGAATAATTAAAAATGATTATAGGGTTGTCAAAATGGATACTTTTAATAGGATTTTTTACAAATAAATTTCTTCCAAAAATAATCATCGTATCAAAAAATATCCAAAATTTTAATCTGTCAACCCTTTAAAAATCATTATATTTGACTGCATAATGCTTTAAGTCAAACTTTGTAAAGTTTCCAATAACAAAGAGAATTATATTTTTTGTTTGTCACAGATATTAAACCCGTACTTCTTTGTGCAAATTTTTTAGAAAAATACGCAAATTTCTCTTTACCGGAACTGAATGAAAAAGGCATTTTCTGGTGTCTAAAGCCTTCCAATTTTTGAGAGCAATTGATTGGTTCGCTGACGTAGTTCATCATCTGATTCGTCATCTTTAAAAGTTTGAAAGTAAATATATAGATTTAACAATAATTTAGGAGTTAAATTTTAAACCCCTAAAAGATCAAGATTAACCCAAATGACAGATAAATCGCAGAAACTGAAACCCCAAAAGCCTAAAGTTAATCAAACAAAATTTTGAGAGAAGTTTAAATAGCTAAACTGAAAAAAATGCCGGAATTTATTTCAGACAAAAGGCATTTTCAAATAAGAAACCCAAATTCTTTAAATATCCAAATAAACAAACCAGAACAACACGGAGAAAATTCAATCTTCTGTTTATTGTCAACTTTAGTCTTTTCTTCATTATTATTAGCGAAAATGAGATTACGATTTTGAGGTAATATTAATGATGAAACAGGAACACAAATATTATTATCGTTTTGTGAAAGATTTTTTTGTTGTGGCAATTCCAAAACTTGTTTGACAGAAGTTTGTTGTCCTTTAAATTCTTCTTCAATTTTTTTATTTTCTTCATTTAATTTCTCCAACAATGCATTATTATTATTTATCTTAGTCTTCATTGTCACCTCACCACCTTCTCTTTCTCCTCCAAACTTTATTCGAATTTTTGGCACTTTTTTGGCAGGATATTGTTCTTCTTCTTCTGTTTGTTCAACAATTTTATAATCTACCACTTTATTTTCTTCACTTTTTCGTTTTTTGCTTTTATCTTTTTTATGTTTTTTCTTTTTTATTTCTTTTTGTTCTTCCTGTTGATTATTCTTCTCCTCCCTTTCTTTTTCTTCTACAATGTCATTTTGTTCTGAAACAACGGGTGTATTTACCAAAATATGTTTAGATATTCTCAATTTCAATAAACCACCACCACCAACATTTCCATTACAATCATTATTAACTGGAATATTAATTTCTTCATTTAGAGAGGATTTTTGCAATGATGTTGTTAAACAATTATTATTTTGTTTTTGAATGATAGGTCTTTTCAAAGAAATTTTTAAAGGAGACTTTTCTTGAATTTTCAACAATTCTTCTCGAGATGTACTTTGTAGAGTATCTTTCGAATCATCATTTTTTCTGTCAATATCCATTTGTTCACCTCCAACCATTTCCCTATTAATCTCATCAGATAGCCGGGCTGCCCTCCTCTCAGCTTTTCTTAATCGTTTTTGTTCTCGACGTAATTTTTTCTCATCCGATCTTTGTTTATCGGCTTCAAAATTTTCAATTTTTGGAGGCAATTTGATCTTTAACTTTACTGGCTTGATTGTCTCGTTAATTGTTGTTAAACAAGTAGATGATTCTTCTTTTTCTTCTTCCATGGAATTCTATAAAACAAGAATTTTAAATTCCTAAAGACAATTGAGAATTCATTAAGAGGTATCGATTGCCAACACTATATAATAAGACACAAAAAAATTTAATGACACGTAAATCCATAGCTCTATAGGACTCAAAAAATCAATCAACTTGTCTTTCTTTTTTTTCACATTTTAATTTTTTTCTTAATCATATGACAGTCTATCAACTTTGACGGAATAAGTATTGGCAACAATATGTGATAAATGTTAAGGATGAATAACTAAAATAATTACCGTTCGAACAGATCGAAACGATGTAACTTCTGCTGGTTTCTCTTCGTTATTACCATTTAACAAAATTGGTGTTGTTGTTTTTCCAATTTCTTCATTCAACTGAAAATAAAAAATAAAATAACTAAAAAGTATTTAAAATATAAAAACATACATAGATGCAAAAAAACATTCTCTAAAACTCACCAAAAAACGTTCCAACTTTAAATTGACTTTTGCTAACGCCGGCTTTTCCTCCTCTGTATTTTTAACTTGACAGAAAGTAGCCACATTTTCATTGCGTTCCACCAATGGATAAGTTTTTAATTGAATGGTGATTGATGCAAATCTTGGTGTTGCAAGAGATGAAGAACATGCAGCAATACTTTTAGACGAATCGCTAAAAAATATTTTCGATATAATTACTCAATTAGAATAAAAACTGCACCTGCTAATATTAACTTCTGTTTCAGTTTCTTCTTCCTTTAATTCTTCAATTTTTGGGGACAAAACATGTTGATAACGTTCATCATCCCATTCATTATATTCCCAATCCATAACTGACGATAATTTTATTGGTGACTTTCTAGCATTTTCTTCATTTTTGCAAATATTTTTCCATTGAGAAATTTCATTCTTTAGTTGTCGATGCTCAAATTCAGCATCCAAATAAAGCAACAAACTGCATTGTTCTTTTGTGGAATCTATTGCTTCTCTAAATAAAGCAGAACACATTCGTTGTTTAATAGAATGTTGTCGTATTTGCATGAGTTCTTTGTGTCGTTGCAATTCAGCATCATCTAAATTATTTAAAATTAAAAGAAAGTCCTTCACTCAAAAATACTTACATCCATCAATAAATTCTTGACTAAATTCTGGTTCCGAAAAAAGCCCATATGGAAGCAGCCTTTCAATAGAATCATTTTTACTTTTGAAGGAAGAGCTCAAATCTGGTTTAAGAAGTTTTTCATGCATCTGGGCAAAATGTTCTGTCAACCTAAAAATATTTTGAATTAAAAATTTAAAAAACTATTAAACCTTTCCCGACGCTTTTCTTTTTGTTTTTCCAATTTTTCCGCAATTAATTTTTCATTTTCTTGGGCTATTACACGCATATTTCGTTTTGCATAGATCATATTGTCAGAAGACGAATCAGTTGTAGGGACTAACACAGAAATGATTTTTTCTTCTTTTAATGATTCTGAAAAGAAAATATAACGATTTTTAAAGCCTCAAAAACAAACCAATTTGCAATGAAGTTGTCTGTCTAACATTATTTGCAAGAATTGTTGAAGAAGTGTATGTACTTGGATGAGATTGTGTTGTAGGATTAAATGCGACAAACTGAACAGGTGTCGATGTTGACAAGGAGTCTGCCGATTGTTTAACAAAAGGTTGTGGATTAGTTTGAGTTTTTGATTGTTGAAAGGAATTTGGGGTTATTACTGTTGATGTTTGGACATTTGAAGGAATCTGAGATTTTTTAGTAACGTTAGGCTTCTTTCTTGGAGCACGGCTTTTTGCAGGCTTATTGTTAGAAGGAAACTGAGTAGTTGATGTGGACGGAACTGCCTCAAATTGGCCAGAAAGTGAGGATGCATATTGTTGTTCTTGTTGGGCCGCTTTGATAGCGGAACTAAAATATAAAATTAACAAAATTAAAGAAATATTTTCTTCATACGTTGTGGTGTTTCTCACAATACAGTCAGCAATCCGGTCCATAACAATTTGCAATTCAGAAGTTACGTCTATTCCACTTTTCTTTTGCTAAATATAACTCTTAATTAAGTAAAAACTGAAGATTTTGAATTAATTTATTATAATATTTTCGCTAACACAATCAGTCAGAATAAACAATCAATTTATGAACGTAAAATAGAAACCTCTTCTAATTGTTGGCAACGACCCATAAGAGAAGCAAATTCCATTGCCAATTGTGGATCTGCAAACTCCAATGTTGCAGTCTTCTGATTGCTAAAAAGGCTTTTAGCTACTTGGTCCAGACCACTTGAAGTTTCAGTTTGTTGCTCATAACCATTATTAAGTTTATTTGTCGATTGATTTGAAACCGAAGGCCTCCTCCTTGTTTTAGTAGATTTTTTAGCGACAGTTTTCACAGACACACTCTCGACAGTATTACATTGTTGATTTAGCTGATTTGAAGAGAAAACTGCATTTGAAGTATTTAAAGGTTGATGGCCAATTATTTGCTCAGGTGGAGGTTGATAGTTAGGAGGTAATTGAAAGGAAGAGGGTTGTTGTTGATGGTCAATTAAAGAGATTAAAGGTGAATTGAATTGATGATTTTGTTGAAGTGGCTGTTGGGATGGGTAAAAGTGTTGTTGTGAATGTTGGCTTTGTTGATTAATTGGCTAGAAAATTGAGAAATGGTAATGATATCTTCGTTTTTTAATTATATACATATTTTGGGAATAGAGATTGAAAATAGGTTTTGAGATTAATTTTGGAATACTTTTCGCCTATATTGGGGTATACGGATGTCAATAGAACTGGCACCAAAACAGTGACGCCAAAGTTTCACAAAAATTAATTAAAAATAATACATTAGATATAGCCGCAGAAGTGCCAGCCGAATTCACAGATGATGATTCTAAATGGACTAATTGCGCTGACTGTTGATGATGAATCTCTTGAGAAGGAATATTTCCGTAGAAATTGCTTTGACCTTAAGTAAAAAATAAATGTTAAGTTGGTCAGGTAATTTTATTGACTTTGGATAGGCGTAGGGTGATTTATTTATATAGGTCTGGGATCAAGTGAAACCCAAGAAAGTCAAAAAATATTTATTAGACAATATATCTAATTTAACAAAAACTCAAACCATTAAAAGATTGTGGCAGATGCTGAGTATGTTGTTGTTCATTTGGAAATATCCTTTGCTCATAATAATATTGCTGTTGAGGTGGATGTTGGAGTTGCTGAATTTGTGATTGGCAAACCTGTGATTGTTCTTGGGTGTAAGGTTTTAATGTGGCAAGTGATGTGCTAGGCATGCAGTCAATATAAGTAGACTTTCCATCGTTAGGTTCTTGACGTATCTAAGGGAAAGGAAAAATTTAAAAATATTTAAGAACAAGCAAAAAACAAGGGCTAACAATTATGTTTCAACTCATGATGCTAAAACCTAGTTATATAAAAGACCGTGAACCGGAAAAAACCCATTTAAAAACGATGAAATAACTTATCAGAAAAATTAAAGGAAAAGGTTAAAATAAAACATAATAAAAATAAAAACCTGAGGAACTGCCAACACGGAAGCCTGCGCTCTCGCAGTTCCATAATCCCTTCCAAAATTAGTTAGAAGAGGGAGAGGTTGTTGATTAGTCTGGAAACCAACAGAATTTCCATTAGTTTCATTATAAATCACAGAAGAGTTAGTTGATTGAATAATTTGTGCACCAATATTGCTGATATTTTGCTCCCCTCTTTCCAAATAATGAGATGTCGAAGCTGTAATAGATTGTTCTCCATTTGAAGAATAAAAAACATTTTCATCAACGGGAACATTGAGATCCAAATAATCAACATTTGTATTTTGTTGTTGTTGTAGAGATTGATGGGGCACATTATGAAATTGATGTTGGTCATCAAGTATAGCAGGATGTTTCTGAATAACACCACTTGTGATCTCCTCAGATTCCGCAAACCAATCCCTTAAAAATTATTTTTTTAATGTCAATAATCTTCCAAAAAAACATCTTCAATTTTTTACTTTTTAATTTTAAGGGGGATTAAAAATCACCCAATTTAATATCAATTCATGAAAATACCCTTTAGTATTTTCAAGATTTTTCTTATTGTCAGCCTCAATACAGAGAGCTTGTTTTCACAACTTTATAATCCACACAAACAAAACCCAAAAAACTAGCCACGCCTATTCAGAATTGTGTGTGAATGTGAAAAACCACGCCCCAAATTCTCTTCCTCTCAAGCAGACAGCCTTTGCTTCTGAAGAAAGAAAACCACGCCCCTAACGGTCCGAAGAATTGAGAGGCGGTATTTGTACATCATGTGGATTGTGTAAATCATTTTTAAATTTTGTTATCACATAAATTCCAAAAAGCATTTAAAAGGGGAAAAGTAAAAAGTTGTCGGAACTTACTGATCTGCAAAGTCGTCAATCATCACACGGTTGTTGTCAATATTGTTGTTATTGTATGATAAAAGCATTTTAATAAAATAACACGCATTTTCTAAATTAGCAAAGCATTACTGCTTTTTAAGTTGCTAATTAAATATAGCCTATAAATTTTTAGAAAAAGAAAATTGTAAAGAAATTTATGAGTTAGAAAATACAAAAGAAAATATATTTGTATTGATTTAAAAATAAATTTACTCCAAAAAAATTTTTTTGTTGCTAGGTAATCTTTTTTTAATCTTTGCTTTAAATTTTGAGTTAATTGAGATGGAAAATTGAACGATTAATCTATTTAATTGTTAAAAAGCATGTCACATATCGCCTCCATCATCCAATTTAACCATCCGTTTGGTCTTCAACACTTAAAAGCCCTACTTCCAAGTCGTGTAATAATAAAAGGGTAGGTGCTCTGTTGTTCTTTTTTTGTAGTGGGGCAGCTGCTGACTGATACGAAAGCAAAAAAACAGCATGGATAGAAAAGACATGAGAAGTCTAGTGTCACCCAATATGTGTGTATTTATTGTTGGCGTGAGGCTATGAAAAAAGAGAAATATATGGGAGAAAAGAAGAAAAGTATGAGTAGAACGCATATGTCAATGTGTTTGGCGTTAGGCCAGCAAAGAAATCAATTCGTTTAAAAATAATAAATTAAAAAATAAATCAGTAGGTAATGGAATTTTTTTGATCAAATCACGACATCTTTTAAACTTGAAAAAACATCTAAAAATAAAAGAAAAATCAGAAGTTTTTATTTTGTTTTAATATGCAGAGGCATTATTTGCCTTTTTTTCTCTTTAAAAAATTTTTGATCAGTAAATAAAATCCACTAGGATTAATGCAACTTTAGTCGAAGGAACATTAATTAAACTGTTGTCATCGCTTATTTATTAACAAGGCAAAAAATGTCGGCAACGAGCATTTGGGACTCTTATTCATCTAAATACACAACGCCAACAATAATCTTTCTGTACTAATTTTTTAAATTTATAATTATTTATGCGCATAACTACAGTCGGTGAAATGTGTTTAGAACCAGTTGCAAGGCGATTTAAGAGTGGATAATTTGACGAAAATAGTCTGAAGGCACATAAAATTTGCCAAAAAATAGTAAAGACTTGATTTTTCTAAAAAAAGGGCCTAAAAGAAATTTTAAAACAAGCTCTAGGGGGTTAAATTAATTTTTGAAGTACTTAATCCCATTCCCCGTTGATATTCGAGATCTCGTTGAAGAAAGAACTTAAAGACTTTGTTCTTTTTACTTTTCTACTAAGTATTTATGGAAATATCAACAGAAAAATTTTTAGATTGCTCGTTTCAAACTCCAGTTAAAGTAACACTTCTTACTTTTTTTTTGTACTGTTTTCGCCAACAAAATTTGAGTGTACAATCATTTCTATTTAGTAGGGACGAAATTTAGAGGCAATGCTCTTCACCAAATATTTTCGGTTCAGTTCCGGATATCCGAAGATTCTCAAAGAACCGAAAAACCTATTCATTACAAAGTTAATAATGGACAATGTTTTAAGAATGGAAGAATTTTTCTTTATTTATATAGAAAAATGAATAGAAAAGGACATTAATTTGTATCGAATTTACTGTCAGAAAAAAACATGGTGGTGTGGTCGTTCAAATAGTAAAAATTCTCCCGGAAGTCGTTTTTGTCCTTCATTCATCCTTCAACAATCACTTCTTAATATTCCTTCAATACATCTTTTGGCCTCGATCACATGGCGTATTTCTGCGTCCATTCACGAGCCAGCGTATTGTATCTCTCTCGATCAGTCTTATATATGCGCGCAATCTCGGGCACCAACGGATCGTCCGGATTTGGATCACAGAGCAATGAGCAAATTGACAGCAAAACTGAAAAATTAAATAAAGAGCAAAACATCTCTTTTATAAAAATCTTAGATTTTTAACAGAACCATGGACAATGTTTAAAAAATTACCAAAATTTATTTTGAGAATACCAAGAAAGCTTTGACCTACTTATTTTGATAAATATTTTACTAAAACCAATATTATGAAAATAAAAAACACTGGAAGACTAAAATTCAATTTTCATGAATGTAATCAAAGACTTTTAGAGTTTTGTTATCAACTATGGAATCCTAAACCCTTTTGTAAAAAAGAAAAATTAAAAACGCCGACGCAAATGTGGCAACCAAAAAAATAAAAATTAGAACCTTTTGAGATAGTCAAAGCTGGAGACCATTGAGATCTCAGAATGTCCAAGCAAATGCTTCCATTGCTGTTGATATTTGGATGATATATACGAGTCGTAAACGCCACTTTTGGCGGCTTAAACGGATAGTCTGTTGGAAAGTGGATTGTCAAGAAGAACACTCCGCCCTGATATGGCGATTCTGGCGGTCCCATAATAGTAGCCTGCCAATGGAAAAGGTCATCACCAACTGGCCCTGCACTGCATTGCGCTGGTGGATCACGTCCAAGGTCCTGAAGTTCCTAAAAACAAGGAATTTGTAAAATATTATAAAGGTAATCCTCTGGAAAAGAGAGCGACATTTAACGTTTTTAGCAAAAAATGGGAGCAAACATTTCCGGAGGTTTATCAAACTAACTTTCTGGATTCGCTTTAGAGCCATTTTCTGAACAATTTAATTTGTTATAAAATAAAACGATTATAATAAGACTTCCGGTCAATATCTATAAAAATAAATTCTGAATTAAACATTGTCAATAATTCGTTCATTTTTCCACAAACAAAAAATAAACAAAAGTTTTTAGTACTGATAAATTTAATGAAGTTCCGGTGCAACGTGATTCTTTTCTTTTTTTTGTCTGTTCGTCTCGAGCTTTCACGATAATAATATTTTTTTGTAGCAGACGTGAGAATTAAACGAAAGACAAGAGAAAAAGAAGAGACAGAAGAGAAAATAGTATGAAAATAGTGAATAAAATTAAAATATCGATTCTGGCGAAAATTTGCGGAAATTTGAACTGTTAAAAAATAATTGGAGGTGGTACCCATTTAGTCGTGAACTTTTTTCGGCCCAACTATTGTTTGATCGAGATAGCTTGCTTATCTTTTTTTTTGTTTAACCAAACTTTTCGAATTTTCAAAAGTTTGAAAGAGGAATTCGAACTGGCATGTAAATAATTATCATTATCTGATAGCCTAGCATTTTGGTTTGATTAATTCGATTCGCGATTAATTGGGGGGGGGGGGGGGTTTCTTCGAATATTTAATTTTCAGTGAAATTTCGAACTTTTATCGGCTCAACTATTGGTTAAATTAATTATAAAATTAAAATATAGACCAAAATTAAATCTTTTAAATGGAACAATCGCCAACAAAAACGCGTTGTTCATTCATTCCATTCACCACTTTTATTGATCCACTGTTTTGGAATGAAGTGAATAGACTTAAAATTAATGAATGGAAATTGGATGAATCGCCTAAAACTATTCATTGCAATTTAACATTTCGTAATATTTTAATTAAAAAAATTTTTTTAAATTTATTTTTAGATGGATCTCAACCTTCTGACAGTTTATTATGTTTTGATCACGAATCTTTAAAAAATGTTTCTGAAGATAATGTTAAAATTAATTCTGGAATTTATAATGTTGAGGGAACTTTTCTTCTTTTAAACACGAAGAAAGCTTTTTTGGAATTGGACAGAACTATTTTGTTGAAGAATATTGCTGAAACTGTAAGGGTTTTCTTTTAAATAAATTAATTTATTTTTTATTAATTTTAAGTTGTGGACTTTAATTACAACAAATGAATGGTTAAAAAAGCCAGATGCCCTAAATACTTTTTATTTGACTGCATTTGCAGTAAGTTTTCATTTTTTTAATTTTTTATATTTTAATTTTTTCATTAATTTTAGGATGTCAAAAATTTTTCATATTATTTTTGGAATTGTATTCCTGCCTTGCTCTTTCCTGAAAATATTCACCAAACATCCCAATTTGAATCACCAAATATTGAATTACATTCATTAGCCTTTGAATTTCTCGTTTCTAATAATGGAAAACCTTTTATTCTAACCAACGATCAAAAGACATTAAAATTGGAAGAATTGGGTGAACAAACATCCCCCGATGACTTTTTATTTGTTTTTCCAAATCCTTCAGAAGTTCAAGAAAAATTTGGATGGCCATTGAGGAATTTACTTGCAGCTATAGCTTATTTAAAGCAATTTAATTTTTAATTATTTTAACTAATTATTTTATTTTTTTTGCAGACCAACGTGGTCCAAATTACGAGTATTTTCACTAACCAGACTCTATCAAAACAGTTTTATTGCAACGCTTTTTTGGGATATTATCAAAAATGAAATTGAAACTATACCAAAATGTGTTGGTTGGGAAAGGACATCTAATGACAAACTTACTTATCGGAGTGTTGATTTAAAATTTATGCTAGATCCAATTAAGTTAGTTGGCTGAAATATTTATTGTTTAATTTGAATTTTTCCTATTTTTTAAATAGTTATTTTTCACTGGTTTTCCATCAAATAGTTGTTTTTACGGGTTTTTTCTTATTTATTTTTTTAATTGTTTTTTTCTTATTTTTTGATACATTCCTTTGATTGTAAGAATTACAATTTGAACACAATTTGAAAATTTTGAATAAAATCTTTAGAAAATCTCTAAAAATTATTTTTCAGTATAATGGAACAAAGTGTTGATCTCAACCTTAAATTAATTCGTTGGCGTCAAGCACCTTCAATTTCTCTAGATAAATTTACTTCTCTTCGTATTTTACTTGTTGGAGCTGGAACTCTTGGTTGTAATATTGCTCGTGCTCTTTTAGGTTGGGGAGTGAGGAATTTCACTTTTATTGATTATGCAACTGTTAGGTAAATTTATTTAATTTATTTTTAATTAAAATGAAAGCAATTTTGTAAAATTAAAAATATTTTTCTAATTTTTAAGTTATAACAATCCTGTTCGCCAATCTCTCTTTTGCTTTGAAGATTGTCTTGTTGCTGGCCTTTCAAAAGCTGAAGCTGCTGCAAACGCTTTGCGACGCATTTATCCAAAAGTTGAAGCAAAAGGGATTCATATGAAAGTACCAATGCCTGGATATCCTTTCTCCGAGGAAGGTAAAAGAAAAGAAAATTATTTATTGTTAAGAACGTTTTTCTTGTTTGTTAAGGCTTCAGTTCCTATTTTTGTAATTATTAAATATTTTTTTGAGTTTTCATTTCTTCTATTTGAAACTAAAAAAATTTACTTTTATTTCTGCTAAAATCCATTCCCCGTAAATTTTATCACTTATAAATTTAAATTTATAGAAGAAGACAATGTTAAACAAAGTTGTCATCAATTAGAAGACTGTATTAAAAATTGTGATGTTCTGTTTTTGGTTATGGATAGCCGTGAATCTCGTTGGTTACCAACACTTCTTGCTTCCGTTCATAATAAACTCGCAATCACTGTAGCTTTAGGATTTGATGATTTTGTAATATTGAGACATGGAACTAATTCAGAAAGTGAACAACAAAAATGTAAATTAGAACCAGAAATGAGTGAAATGGCACAAGATTTACATGCAGAATTGCCAGGCTCTTTACTTGGGTGTTATTTTTGTAATGATGTGACTGCACCTGGAAATTCTACAAGTGAACGGGCACTTGATCAACATGTATGGATTTTTCTAAATATTTTTAAATTGAATTAAAGAGATTTTTATTGACTTTTTAAATCAAAAATATTTTATGTTTTGTGGAGAAATATATTGAAATATATGAAAAATGCTTAACGAGTTCTGAGTCCCCCTTCTAAAAATATTCATATACAAAAGGCAACTATTTTTGGTTTACAAAATCTTTATTATTTTTATAAATTTTCCTACTTTATTCTAATTAATCTATTTTAGTGTACAATTTCTCGAGCAGGAATTTCAATGATTGCTTCCGGCTTTGCTGTTGAATTATTAGCCTCTGTTCTTCAACACAAATTAGAAGCAAATGCCCCAGCCCGAATGAGTGAAATGGATGCAAGTGCATCTTTGCTTGGAGCAACACCTCACGAAGTAAGAGGATTTGTTTCTACATTTCAACAAATTATGCCTACAATAAGACGTTTTGATCGCTGTACAGCTTGTGGAAATTCAGTGAGAAAAATTTGAGGAATTTTTTTAAAATTTTATATTTTTAAAGGTTCGTAATCTCTATTCTCAAGAAGGATTTAAATTTCTTTCAAAAATATTTAATGACCCAACAGAATTAGAAAGGGTTAGTGGACTTACAGAATTACAACAACAAGCAAATGCTTTCCAAACTCAAATGATTGAATTGGATGATAATGAAAGTATTTCGAGTATTTAATTTTAATTAATCGACAAATAATAATTGCCTTAATCAGAGTAATAAATTACTTATTTTTTTATTAATTGTAAGTTAAGCTGACAAGAATAATTATGCAATCTTCTGTATATATTTTTAAATCTATAAATTTTTTAAAATTTATTGGATACATAAGCCTGAGTTTTTATGAGGAATTAGAGGTTTAAGTTATTCTAGGAATAATTTTTTCCAAAAGCTTAATTCTTAAAAATTTAAATATATTTTGTCAAATACTTGATTAATAAAAGCCCCAATTATTTCTTTGAAAGTGAAAAAAAGAAAAAAAATTAAAATAATAATAATTATTTTTAAAAAGCTCATTGCTATTTTTATTACAATCATTATGACTAGTTTTTTATATTTTTTTATTTCCCCATAATTATTTTCAATTCCTTCCTCTAGCAACTTTTCGTCTAAACATTTGATTAAGTACACTTTCTCGAATTTCCCTTCCAAGTGTATTGCAATTTAATTTTTTAAATCGCCTTATTGCTTGCTTGAAGCTCTTAATAATATATTTTTTTATTTTTTCTATAATTCCTCAATCACCTTTTCTTGTCTCCAAGGGACAATTAATTTAGCATTTAATAATTCTCCATTTTTCCTCTTTTCACTAGCCATAACCAAAAAAGTTAATTGTCTCTCTTTTGCTTCCCCTTGTAAAGAACTTGTATTTACTTCTGCAAAAGGACAATAACAACGAGTTTCTCCATGTTCTGATAATTTAATTAAAATATGTTTATCTTCAATTGGATCTCTTGTAGATTTTTCACCAATAGAGCCAGAAGCAGAGGTAGTTGAGGATTTAAATATTCTCATTCTTTTAATTATAGCCATATATGTTGAATTTAATGGGCGAATTCTAACTTTGAGGACTACAAAGAAAAATAAAAATTAAGTTATAAATTACATTACACTTTAACAAACCAATAGATGAACGACAGAAATTATCCATTAAATTCTCAAATGTGGCTACTTGAGCACAACTTTTGCAGATTTGTCCTGGAAAATACAGTTAAATCACATTATAGTATACACTAATTAATGTATGCGTTTCAGTTTAGTGTACTGATTTTTTAAATGTGAGTTGTCATTAATCGAGTAGAAATGCCTAAGCAATTCGTTTTAGTTTACAGTACTAGAGACCAGACCGAAACGAGATCTCGATCGAAAATCTCGTTTATCGAGATCGAGAATTTTTAGAGATCTCGATTCTCGTACGAACTCCCACTTCGGTTCCTAGTTTGTACATTACAACGAAATTCGACTAATTTGTTTTAGGTATTTTGTGGGTCCCTACCAATTTAAGTACCTTTAACATTAGCAAGTAATGGTGGTGGATATTTTCTTTTTCTTTCTTCTTCTTCATCTGTTGTAGGTGTAATAGAGGAGGGAGGTTTAATACATAAATCATTATCAGAAGGGAATTGACTACAATTAAGCATTTCTGGCCAGGGAAAGCCATATTTCTCCATTCTTATTGCACAACCCTTTTTTGAAATTATTTTAATAATTTAATAATTAAAAAGAATATTTTTACTTCTCTAACAGCATTACAAAGTGATTCACAAGGATGAATAGGTTTTTCAATTTGAGGCAAGCAAATAGGTGCAAAAAGTGAACAGAGAAATAACTTTAAAGTTAAAATTAAATTTTTAAAATTTATCATTTACAGTCTCCTGTTATCTCTTTAAAAGGAACAACCCCTTCCGGTAATAAATAAAAACAATAAAGTTTCTACTTAAAAGTTTGTCACTAAAAAATAACCAGGGTTCCATTACTACACATTAATTAATACTTTAGTATGTGGGTGACAATGTAATCGAAGCAATGAAATCCATGCTGAACTTTGTTGAATTGCTTCTTCCATAGTTTCGTGTTCAAGTAAATTTGGCAATCTCATTGTTTTATACTTTTTATTTTAAAAAATTTTTTCAAAAAAATATTTTTATTTTTCTTTTACTTGCATTCCATGACATAAAGTAAATCTTTCTGAAATATTTAAACATTTTGATGTTTCTTGGGGCCTTTGTTGTTCTTGTATCCAATTATTACTAGAATGGGGAGATGACGCTAGAATTGACCATTGACCGCCTGATAGAGAATAAACAGATTGACCAAGAAAAAATAAAAAGGGAATAATTATAGTAAACATTCTCTAATTTTTAAAAAAATTAAGTTTAAATTTGAAAAAAAAGTTAAAATTATTTATGTTTTTTCACGAAAAACCTAAAAAAAGAATGATCAAAAAAAAAGAAACATTAAAAAAATAAAGGCTTTTAATTGTTGCTCAAAAAAATTAAAAATCTGAAGAGAGATTAAATTAATTATTCGAGTTACTTTCATTTAAAAATTTATTTTTTTAAATATTTTGTAAATGAAATTTATTTATCATTTTCCTTTTATTAAATTTTTATTTAAAAATAATCAAAAGCTTCTTCTCTTATTTTCATTATTCATGAAAATATTAAAAATATGTACCTCCTTTAAAAGGCTATTTAAAGAATTTAAAATTTATTTTCTATTTATAGATAGGTAAATTTTTTAAATAAATTAAATATTTTTGTAAATATTTTATTGCTAAATTTGCAAAAAAAAAAGAAATTTGAGAGAAATTTAAAAATATAATTCTGGATTTATATAAAAGTTGAGAGAATATACTTTATTTTTTTAGTTTAAAGATGACCGAAGATTTGTGTGATTTAAGTAAAATATATTTTTCTATACCTTCTCGAATATCTTTAAAAGATTAAAAGTAAAAATAATTTTTGAGCTTTTTACATTTAAATATTTAAAAAAAAATTAAAAATGAATAAAAATTAATTACAAACTGTATGAGATTTTTAAAGATTAAAAAATGAATAAAAATTCAAGTAAATAACCTTTGAGAAAATTAAAAAAAAATTTTTACATATCTTTCTTTGAATTAATATTTTAAAAAAATTCTTAATTAATTTAAATAAATAAATCAAAATTACTTATTTTTTTAAAAGGAAGCTTTAATGGAGAGAATCCTTTTAAATAATTATTAAAAATATTTCTTAAAAAAGAAAAAAAAACTCTTTTTGTTAACAACTGTCTCTCTCTACATTTTACGCGCTCCTCTTTCTTTCCTTCTTATTTTTAAAAAGATTTTCTTAAGAGTTTTTAAATAATAATGAAAAAGAAAATTGGTCGAGAAAATAATTCTTTTGATGATGCCGCCCTTTATCCGTCAAAATATATATTTATTTTATTTATTTTCTTTGTGTGTGTGTTTGCCTTAAAAACTTTTTTTGTGTGTTTATTTGGCATTTAAAAAGGGGAAACCGAAGATGGATAATGATTGAATTTGTATATAGAAAGAATTTTAGGAGTTTATTTTCTCGGATTTCAAGTTTTTAAAGAAATAAAAATTAAATCTTTTAAGACAATTTCAGCACTGAAAGGTTGAAATGAAGATTTAAAACTAGGATTTATGAAAAAAATTTATAATGCTCAAGGCTAGTGAACGACAAATCAACGTTTTCGTTGATTCGCGGCGAATATCAACAATTATTCGCGAACAACTTTTTTTAAATACATAACGCCAGAACAACGTTAATATCAACGTTTTGCGCCAAACAACTGCGAATCAACGTTTTTGTATCTTTTTTTCTCTGCTCTGCCATTATATTTCTCTCTTTTTTTCTGTTAATTTTCGTTCGTGTAGTCTCTCCTTTGGAATTTGCAATTTTCCATTTTTATAAATGTTCAGTCTTTTTTCTGTAATTTTTAGGGATTTTTCCACATATATTCTTACTAGATGGATGAATTTGAAAATGAATTAAGAGTCGCATTCGAAAGCGGCGATCTCGAAGAACCTGTGACACCGTCATCGAAACGTCGAAAATCCGATATCCTTAAGGGATTAATCTAGGAAGTCCGAAGAGTAGGCGATCATGGAATGAATGTTTGTACTTTCGTGTCTTCCAATTCCTGGAGACATTTCCAAAATCAGAAAAAATATATCTGATTTAGTCAACAAAAATCTTACCTATCTTGGGCTTGTCATGTCAAAAATCGTTTTTATTACTGATGAGGGAAATGATCAAATTGGAAAATGCTTGGAGAGGAGAAGTAAGAGGAGATGATTTAGTCAGAGCAGTTTTTTTAGGCGGAATTGTTGTTTATGGCGGAACTGTTGTTTATGGCGGAATTAAGGTTTTTCTTTTGAAAATTATTTATGAATTTTTTAAATTTTGTCAGATTTTACTTTCTTTTGCAATGATTTGGGGTTGGGTTTTGACAACTCTTCGCATTTGTCGTTTTACCCATCTTGGGACTACACCAACTCCTGAATGTAAACAGAATGAGAATTGCACAATTTGTTTTAGCGAATACACTTCGCCTGTTAAGGTTAATATTTTACTAAAATTTTCTGGACAAGTTTTAATTTTGTTTATAGATTTTTTTTATAAATTTAATTTTTTTTTAATAAAGCTCAAATGCTCGCACATTTTTTGTTCTGAATGTATTCGAACTTGGCTTGATCGTGAACATACCTGTCCTATTTGCAGAACAATTGTAACAAAAGAAGACAATAATTATCGAAACGGAGAATCTATGTTTCCATGTATATTCTGATAATTTTTGTTATTAATTTGTATACAGTCCGAAAACAGGTTATTCCACATTTATTTTTATTTGACTCACAATCAGTTTTTTGCATGTTGGAGTACCCTATGAATTTTCTTAATTGTCCTTGATTTTATCAAACAAATTACAAGGGCAATCTCCTCATGCATCAAAAATTTGTGATGGTAGAAAAGATTCATTCGAAATATTACTATACGTATATTCTATCTTTTGAGATAAATGTTTTTTCAAAAAAAATTTGGATATAGTTTTTAAGATTTGCCTTTATATCATAAACTAACAAAAGTATTTTTGTCCATAGACTTCGTCGTGATTATTCAAAAAAGTTACAAACAGAAATTAAAAACGATGATTTGGCTGAGAAAGGACTAGATTTTGAGATGGAACAGTATGAAACTGGATGTAAGAATTTGGGAGGACATAAGCTAGATTTGCTAAAATTTTGGAAAGAAACTTCAAACAAAATTCCAATTCATTACAATCATTATTTAAAGATGGATAAAATTTTGTTGTTTTATATATTTTTTCAATTTTAATAAAAAAATTCCTACTCGTAAAATTCTTTTAAATTCCAAAGGAGAGACTACACGAACGAAAATTAACAGAAAAAAAGAAGAGAAATATAATGGCTTAGCAGAGAAAAAAAGATACAAAAACGTTGATTCGCAGTTGTTTGGCGCAAAACGTTGATATTAACGTTGTTCTGGCGTTATGTATTTAAAAAAAAGTTGTTCGCGAATAATTGTTGATATTATTAAATCAACTTTTTTTTCTTAAGAAAACGTTGATATGTCGTTCCCTACTCAAGGCAAAGTTTTAGTGTCCCTAACTCGGAATTTTTGATTGAGCTTCTATTACTGCAACTAGAGCATACTTAACAACTCTTAGTAGACTTCAAACATGTGTGTTAAGCAGTATTGCTTGGGTCATTAAAGGCAGCTAAACAGGGAATTCAAATAAATTGAGTTTGAAACTACAAATCCAATAAGAGAAATTTATCTAACAAACAAAATAATATTTTTATTTATTACATACAAAAAAGACAATTATCGCGATTACTGAGAACAATACAAAGGCGAACAAATATCACTATACAATATAATCAACAACAAAATAAAAGTGGCATTTATCATCTTTCCTTTTATTCAGCTGGACCAGTCAAACGCCGGGTGAAGGCTGCAGCGTCTCCTCTTTGCCACTCGCCGGACCATCTCTCGCAGCCAATCGTAGTCGAGTTTGTCGACGTAATGCCGTTTTGTTAAGTATGACATGATGTGTCGAAATTCGCTGAACTTGAAAAAGGGAAAAAGAAAATTAGTATTAAGCATGTCTTATAGCACCTCCTGCCCTGGGAAGAGTGTTGACGGATTTGCGAAAACACCTTCTTTCATTTCCCGCACGTTGTTTAGGTTCTCCTCCTCGTACCATGGCAGCTTTTTCTTATTGATCATGTCGGCGAGCATGTAAAGCCAACTCTCACAGTCATCCTTGCGGCCAGACTCCTCGCTTCTATGCATGGCCAGTGGAGCGAACCGAATTGTTCCTTTGAATCTGACCTGGAAAATCATAAAAAGATTATTCAAAAAAGGATTTAACAATCAAAGAATATTGCGAACTAGCCTTGGATCGGGGGATGGCAACCGTCCCATCAGCGCCCACTATCTTCCTGGCGATTCCAAAATCCACCACGTATACCACATTCTGAGAACCAGTTTTGGCCAGCCCCAAAACAAAGTTGGCAGGTTTGATGTCTCGATGAACAAATCCGAGCGCGTGCATGTCCTTGATTGCTTCCAGAGTTTCGAGGGCGCAGTACAGTCCTGTGTTCATACTAAACAGGGAAAGTTTATTAATGACAAACTCACCTATTCTACCTGAAGATTTTGTTTGACTGCCGATACTTGATGTCGGCAAGTGATTCGCCTAGAAGCGACATCACTATGAACATGAACGACCGCACCTCAACGCTCCTGTCGTACATAATTGGGAAGTGCTTCTGCTGCTCCTTTGACACTCCTTTGGCTGCTTCCAGTACTCGGATCTCCATGACAAGCTTAAAATGGTTGCGTCTCGGATTTCGTCGCTCCTCCTTCATTGCGAACAGGCCCCCTTTCCTCCAGTCCGCCTTGACCTTATACACAGCTCCATATCCGCCGTACGAAATGCTCTCCACGACCGTGTACGAACGTCCACTTTGACTGAAATTAAGAAAAAATAGTGGGACAAATACTATATTAAGCTTATAAAGAAAAATTTACCAGTTAATCTGCTCGCCTGGATCTCTGCCCGCGAAGGAGTACTGCGACACAAGAGACGAGGCCATGTCGAGTTGAACGGTGGTGCAAAAGCGGCGTTGATGTAGTGAGTTGTCGGCAAACGGTGGTGCAAAAGCGGCGTTGATGCAGTGAGTTGTCGATGAACGGTGGTGCAAAAATGGCTTTGATTTGAAGTTAAATTCATTTTGCTTGGCTTTTATAATAAAATAGTCTCGAACAATTGGAAATTTTTTAAAAATAAGGCAAAATTTTAGGCAAATTGAAAATGAAAATTTTTACAGATTTTTCTTTGGAAGGTTTTTTGTGTGGATGAGGTTCTTGGAGTTTTTGTACGATGGCGTTTTGTTTGCAAAATTTTGAAGATGAAGTTTTACCTTTCACTAGCAGCAGAGTGTCGATCATTTTATTGTCAAATATCGCAGATTAAAAATATTTTAATTTATTTTTAATTTTGTAGTTATTTTTATTGGGTCTCGATGACTGAATTCTGTACTAAATTCAAAACACACTAAAAGAGAGATTTGTATGCAAAAAATAACGAGACATTATTTTATATTTATTTTTGGCTTTTCATTTTATATAATATTAAGGCAACCCCCTTAAAAGTTGACACTAATTTATTTGGAAATTAATGTTTCTAGACGAATAATATACAAAAATATTTTCTTAGTAATTTAATAAAAAGTCATAATTACTTAAAAAAATATTTTATATTTATTTTTAGTTTTATTTTCTTAAAAAAACTTTTGACCAAATAAGTAGAAGATTTTAGAGAATTTTGTGGAAATACATATCTGTATCTCAGTTATAATAAAAATTCTCTGAAATTTTAATATCAATTTTTTATTTTTTCTTAAATAGACAATAAATAATTTGATTAATTTTTTTCAATTTTATTTTTAATATTAATTATCCTTCCTCTCTCTAAAATTATTTAAAATACTAAATTTAAAAATCGAGACTTTTATAAATTAAGAACATAATTAATAATTAGTTGATCTGTTTTTAACTAAATTAAAAAAATATTTTTTTAGTCAAAATGTTTCAAATTTACATAAAAAAATAAACAAAAAAATTCTACTTTTTATTTCTATTTTCGATTGTCCTTCTTTTTACCAAAATTTTTTTAAATAAAAAAAAGAACACATTAAAATGGTCTAACGCTCTGTTTCATCTTTATATAAATTTCCGGTAATTCTTCTTAAATTTGTCATTTTATTTAAATTGGTCCTCTATTTTAAGTATTTTTCTAAATTTGGCACTCATTTTTTTGGAATTTTTTTATTATAAGGAAGTTATAAAAATAATTGGTCTTCTTTTTTTTAATTTAAATAATTTTAGACAGATTTTTGTGGATTCTTTTTTAGCAATTTTATTTTGTTATTTGTTAATAAAGTCAGTTTCTAGTATATACGCTTTAGCCAAAAACCGTACGTATATTATACTGAGGGGTTACTATGTTGGGTTAGGCATCTCCTCCCAGTAGCCAATAAAATTTAAAATTATATAGTGTCGGCGTACGTATACATATTTAATAATTTATGTTTTTAATGTGCTAATATGAGAGATAAAACACAAATCTAAACTGACAAACAAATCTAATCTTCAACTTAAAAGAATCAAACTTACTAAAAAATAATTATTAATCTTAAACTACTTTATACTACACCCATAATTTCCTTCCGTTTCTCTCATTTTACAGTACCCATCCATCTTTTATTGTTGTAAATTACCTAATAATTTAATTTAAAATATTCCCCATTTCTCATTAAAAATTCACAATTTAACTAACTCCTCAGCTTTCTAAATTTAGTATATTTTTTGTAATCAACTAATTTTCTGATTTGCTAAATTGCAATTTATTTATTTAAAATATTCTCTCGATTAAATCCCTTAAGGGAATTTTTGGTTTTTATTAAGAAAAAAAGGAATTGGCATTTCGTCAAAAAATATATACTATTTATTTTAGTATTGTGCAGCTGGGCCTTCTTTTAAAAGAAAATTAAGTAAAAAATAAGGAAAAGACAAAAAAATTTGTTTGAAGATTATTTTTATTTATTTATTTACATCATTTTTTCTTTTTTAAATTAATTTCTTTGGTAATTTAAACACAAATTTTGAGACATTTAAAATAAATAAAAATATTTTTTATCACTCCTTTTCCTCAATTTCCATCTTTACGTTATTCGCAAATGAAAAGCTTTAGATTTCTTTTTTTAATTAGAGAGACTGAAAATTGAGGAGACTTTCTTTTTGTTTATTTTTTATCTTAATTTAGAAAATATTTTAATACTAGTAGAGTACATAATTTAAGATTTTTTGAAATGCACTCTAAATCCAAATTTTTGTTTTTCTTTTGCCTGAAATAAATTCAAAATATATCTAATTTTTGAAATACCTCTTTTTTTCTTTAATTTTTTAAATTTAAATTAATTTTATTCCCTTAAATATTTGAAATGTCAATATACTTTTTAACATCTAGAAAAACAAAAAAATATTTGTTATATCATTTTCAATATTAAAAAAGTCTTAAAAATCTAATACATTAAAGTATGTTTTGTGACGCTTATAAATAAAGTAGATTATTAATTTACATAAATAAATATATACTTTTATTTATTTTTATTTATTTCTACCCCTCCTACATAGTTTAAATATTCCTACTATTTAAATTTTCGTTTGACGTTATTAATTTTTGATTATTTATTAATT